GTGACCGCAGCACTCGAGCTGCATGAACTCCACAGGTTTGTGTGGTCATGGTGATCATATTCTCCTTCATGATTTGAGAATGATCCAAAGAACGTCTTCTGTTTCAATGGAAGCAAGAACATCTGACTGTCTGTACAAAGAGTCACATGATCAGTGTCACAAATGTGTTTATATAATTAGTGACTTAGAAATAGTGCAGAGTCTAATTTTATTGTAACGTTTCTTTGTTTATTTATTTTTAATTTTTTTAATTGGATTTCGAACCCTAGATGTTCAATTTGTGCATGTTTCCAATGAGTCGGCTTTTGAACCCTCATATTGTGTTTATTGATCCTCAGACAAAAAGACAGAGGCAAGAAAGGTTCCACCAGAACGGCCCGAATCTCTCCCACACAGAGCTGAGGAAAAAGGTTGGTAGCATCTTTCAGATTTATTTTGGTCAACTCTTATTCTGTTATTTAAAACTTTTACTTGAAACTTGCCTGCCTCTAAAAGGTTTGGATTGACATAGTGCTTGTGTTTTCAAAATTGGAATAACATTTTCTATATCTCTGCTTTGACAATCTCTCTTTTAGTTTCCTGTAAACATCCTTGTTTGACATTTTATACCTTTTAGTAATGATGATGTCAGTGATGATGATGGGTATTACATGTAGGTGAAGAGTCGAAGTTGGGTGAGATTCTAAAGCCGTCCCTCCCAGTCGTCCTCCAAAGAAGCCTCTTCCTCCGAAGAACAACAACATGTCGAGTCGACCGTCGTCCCTGCCACCCAAACGCCCAGACAGACCTGAGAGACCAGCTGTACCCAATATACCGTCAGTCTCACACACATGACCAACACAAACATGATCACAGTCATTCATCATATCCTAATGCATCATTAGGGTTGGAAACAAATGTTAAAATAAAAACATTTAATTGTAGCTGAATACCATGAACCAAAATTGTTACACAAGGAACTTTTTTTTAACTAATATACATTTCAAGCATTAAAGACAATTACAACACTCACTAATTAAAAAAGGACAAATAAACAAATTAGCAATCGCACAACTGAACAAACAATTGAAATAAACAGTGTTTTAAGATTTTCAGGTATTCAGGTACAAAAACTAAATTAAATGTAAAATAACACTGCACTTTATAAAGAAAACACACATTGCAAATATACTTACAAAAGTTACTGAGGCAAAAACAGCGAGTGAATTTTCTCTTTGTCTTTTGTTGTTTTATTAACTTATTATGAGACGACAGCAGGAATATTGGGCTGCTGTCACTTTAAGAGCTGCACGGATCCAATAAACTGTTACACATGCGTTTGTCAGCTGTTTACGTTTATTTAAGATATAACAGAAAACAGCGTGTCAGTCTTCGTGTGCATGAATGGTTTAAAAATCATATGAAAATACACATAAAGGAATCGATAAGAGGAATCGAAATTTTAAGTAATTTTAATTGCCTTTTAAGTATCCAATTCCAGAACGGGAATAGATTTTCGATTCCAAAACCTATGCATTATGATCTTATCATGTATCAGAGTATCAGATGATATTCTTAATTTTTACTCTAAGATCATTATTATTTTAATGAACTCAATTAGTGTCATAATTAAACATTAACAGATAACATTAAACTTTTAACAGATGCATTTACACTAAATAATACAATTAAAATACCTTATTTTACATAACTGAGTCTCAAGACTCAAACATTTTATTTTTGAACGGATTCATTTAGCACCATCCAAATTACTTCCATGTAGTGATTCCAATGAATCAGGGAGTCATTTCATTTTAGAATGGATTGATTTAGAATCAATCAAATTACTTTGTGCAGTGATTCCAATGAATGAGTGAATCATTTCTTTTTGGAATGTATTCTTTTTATATAAAACCATCCAAACTACTTATGTTCAGTGATTCCAATGAATCAGACACTCATTTCATTTTTCAATGGATTGATTCATAACCATTCAAATGACTTCTGGTTGTGAATCAGTGAGTCATTTTGTTTTTGAATGTATTCATTTAGAAACATCCAAATGAACCAGTTCACTAGACTGAATCAGATTGTACAATGCTACATACTGTATTAGAAATACTATTCATCCCTCATCACATTATTACTCCATTTTATTGTCCTTTCCAAGAACATTTGTGCTATTTCTGTGTTTTTACTAAAGCTCATTCTGGTTTAAATATCTTTTGCACAGTAGTGACAGTCCGAAGACTGACGGTGTGGCAGCTGACCGAGGCTCTGCAGACAAATCACTCGATATCGGTGAGTCGCTATTCAGAGCTGCCATTCAATCCAGAATATCTCATGACTAATAAGACTTATAATAATCCATATCTAATACGATTAAAACCGCTCTGTCCAACTCACTTCATTCGTTTTCATTCTGGAGATGATGGTCTGGCGTGTTTTTTTCCTGTGTCCGTGATGCATATGCACGTGTTATATATGTGGTCCCGTGTGTTTATCTTTGTATTCGTGTGACTCTCGGCTGAAGATGTAGAAGACTTCGACTCCGTCGTCTTATCCACAGAGAAGCTGAACCACCCGACCGCATCACGGCCCCGGGTGATGGACCGGCGGCCGCGATCGCAGATCTTCACGTCTGTGAGTCCACAGATATTATTTGTGCATTTCAGTAATTTTGTTGTGCATTTTTGTTATTTTATTAGTTTATTTTGTATATTTTTTTATATCTATATATATATATATATATATATGTACCCAGTGGGCACTGGAAGTCAATGTACCGTAACATCAAAAAGACGAAGGACAGTGTTGTACTGACTTAAAATTTTGCATGAAAATGAAAATTGGGTCAAAATCCAACATTGATTTTTTTGTGAGCCTCCAACACTGGACCACTGTTGACTTTTGGTTGCTTAAAACCATAACTTATAACTAACAAAATATCAAAGTGTAATGATATTATGATTTACAACATTAGCATTATGACGTTTAACAGACGTTGACTTTGTTACCATACCTCATGACTAAATGTTGGTGTTGGATGTCAATTTGATGTTGGGATTAGATGTTTGGAAAAGTAATATCACAGCTTAAAACCAACAAAATATCAATTCAGCTGTTGTCCGTATTCTGCAGCACATCAAAATGACATTGGCATTGAATTTTTATGGTTTTAGTTTCTTTTAACTGTAATAACTCTACCACACATGCTTGTTTGTTATTATTTTGAACTAATCAGAGTGTCAAGTCAATTACATTTGGGGGGGTTTCACGCCTATCAGATGCAATCAACTGACAAAGTGTCATAGATTTGTGACTTTTACAGGTGTTCGGTGTTAATCCGTCAGATATGATTGTGCCATTTGCTATGTGTGAACGTCACATGGGCTTACCTCGCTCTGCCTGTCTATGGGTTATCTGGTCATGATTGCTTAAATATCTTTCTATTTCCTAGTCCTCTCTCTCTAGTCCTGACCTCCTGGACTCCCCATCTCCAGAGGAGGAGAGGAGAGACAAGGAGATAGGAAAGGAAGAGCAGGACTCATTCACTCCCAAAACTATTGACAACTCCAAGAAGATACCCAAGGCAGTGCCAATCATAACAGTAAGCCCCCTCCCCTCCCCTGCCAGTCATCCACCCCTCTTACACCCTCCTCTCCTTTTGCATGCACATCCCTGTCCTACCACAAGGGAGCACCCTTGCCATGCATTTTTATGTACCGACACAAAATATTACTTTTGGATACTTGAGTCACACTTTTAAATTATTTCTTTAAAAATTCTTACATTTTGAAGTGTGATTTAGAGGGATCGTTCATCCCAGAATTAAGTATCGGTCATTATTTACTCACTCTCATGATGTTCCAAACTTGTAGACTTACTTTCTTCTGTAAAAAAAAAAGAAAATTATATTTTGGAAAATGCCTCTTATAAAAAATAATGCCCTTTTTTATCTCCAAAGAATGAAAGTCAATGAGGTCCAATAGAGCGATGCAGGGATTTTTCTTTTTTTTTAGTTAGCATCACCCAGGTTCGACAAAACCCCAATTTTATTTTTTCATTGGCATTTGGATTATTGTAGAAAATAAGCTTTGGGACTAACAAAAGTTTATGATTCTTTCGCATTTTGTTCATCTTAAATCATAATCTAATCTTGGAAACCTAAATACAAAACGTAAGCTATAAACAAACTACACCCTGGTCACATGACCACCAATATTAAGCTTCCCACAACAATTTCAGTCTTTGTACAAAAAATGTTCGAGGTAAAATAGTTTGCAAGAGAACAATTAAAAACACAGTATATCTGTAAAAGCAGATTATAGAGAGGAGATGAGTTTATTTTTTCGGTGTGATATTTAATGTCCCCAGCACCTTCTGTAGTCCCATTTAGATGCTTTTAAAAAAAAAAAAAAGTCCTGAGCTTGTGTTCACCAGGCCTTATTTCAAGCATTTAAGCAAAAACCCACTGGATAATGGAGCCTGAAGTGCTTAAATGCGAACTCTTTTCTAGGTTTTCACCTCCAAATATATTTCGATCCTGCAGCACTCCATTTGTGGTTTTGGACCCCATTGACTTTCACTGTATGGATAAAAACGGTTCTTAAAATATCTTCAGATGTAAAATAGTCAATCAGATTTTGGAATGACATGAGGCTGAGTAAATAATAATAAATTGTGATTTAAGGGTAAACTATCCCTTCAAGTGTCCAAATACTTTACGGGTGCCACTCACACACTCTCACACACACACAAAGAGAGACTGAGGCCCGAAATGGAAGACAAACATCCGAGAGTGATTTTTTTTTTTTTTTTTTTTGAAAAGCTCTTTTTCTGATATCTCATGGGGGTGTTCCACAGGGTCCTGAGAAATCGTCTTTACCCCCTAAACCAAGTGTCCCTCCATCCTCTTCTGGGTCCAGTGGGGCTTCTCTCCACCAGGGCGCCGCTGGTCTGCGGCCCCATTCCCCTTCCGTTGATGCGAGAGGGAAGAGTGAACAGGGTTCCACGCTGGACGAGCTCAAAGCACAATTACGAGACCTGAAAGGAACCGTGGAGCTCATGAAGAGCCAGCACAAGTATGAACCAACGGGATGGGGATCAGGGGTGTCCAATCCTGCTCTTGGCGGGCCACTGTCCTGTAGAGTTAAGCCCCAACCCCAATCAAACAATGTCTGACTAGGCAATCTAGAAACATCCAAACTGGCCTGTTGCAGAACAGTGGCCCTCCAGGAGCCTGGTTTGATGGAAGACAGATGGAGTGAAGTAGTGAAAAAGGGGAAGGAAGTATAAAGAGAAGGAAATTATAATTCAGTATATGGAAGTATAGAAGGACATTTTTGAGATGAGCTGTGGGATGAATGAGTTGATTGACTGATGTCTTTGTAGAAGGATGTGACGTGTAATTCCCAAACTTGTTTTATCAGACAAGAAATCAAGCAGTTGGTGAGTGAACTGGATGAGGAGAAGAGGATTCGTATTTCACTGCAGGTGAGGGGACATTAGATCAGTCTCTAACCAGGTGCAACACGATATAGCAATATTAACTAACATACACTGCCCACCCAAAAAAAAAAAAGTCGTCGCTTTTTGGATTTAAATAGGCAAATGCTTAATCTATGGATCAGTATTGCAGTGATTGTTATGTTTTTAGCATGTTAAATGTTTGGCAAAAGTTCTTCTGACTCTAATTGAGTATGTTGATTTTCATGTAAGAAGATATATCATGGCCATATTCCGAGATGACAATGTCAAGACTCATCAGGCTCAAATTGTGAAAGAATGGTTTGGAGGGAGCAAGAAGAATCATTTTCACACCTTAAAGTCCAGACCTTAAATTCATTGAAAGTGTTTGGGATGTGCTTAACATTGTCAATACAAGATCTGTAAAGCCGTTGGAAAATAATCTTAAATCTTTAATAAGTGTTGTTTATATTTCCGATGACTCCTCTTTGTTTTATGCTTTGTTTTAGATGGAAGTGGAGCAGATTAAGAAATCCCTGTCCAAATGAACTCAAGCATGCTGGATGTATCAGATGAAGGATCTGGCTGAGGTTCAACACCACAGCCCGAGTAGATTGTGCCAAAAAAAAAGAAGAACAATGTACCAGAACAATTGCATAAAGAAAACATCTGTTTACCCCCCAAATCACTTGTACTCTTTCAGCTTTCGTTGTTTTAAGAAGCTTATTTTTGCGTGTTATGCTCAGAGACTGGGCGCTGACTCACAGACCCGTTGCCCGGGTGTGGCCTTACGGTGGGTCATGTGATTAAAGGGTGGCGATGACCCACACCTGGAGACGGGTGATAGCGGTTGCTATGGGGATTAGCTGGTCTCCTGCACAACTGTGACACAGTTACCCCATCACCCTCTCTAGTACTGCCTCTGAACGCTAGTCAAAGAACACATGAAATGAAGGAGAAAGCAGTGTGTTTTACTTAAATACTCCTCACCTTAAGTTCTTTTCTTTTGACTTGGAGGCCTTCTGTTATTTTCTTTATATGCAAAGATGCGTTTGATTTCACACCCCTTGCGGTTTCCACATGCAGCAAAACCCACGTTGAGGCCTTGTTTATTTGGAGCATAGTCTTACCTATTTCTTTTACGTTGGTGATGACAATGAGAAAACTCACGTTTTGTTTTCTTGACTCGTTTTTTTTTTTTCTTTGAAATCTTCTATATATACTTTTATATTTTAATGTACTAAATACAATAATGTGTGCAGATTTTATTAAAAAAAGAAACTTCAAAAAAGTGATTTTCTGATTCTTTGTTTTTTATAAATGCTTGTGTCCTCTAGGTAGTGCACCAGGGTCAAGTATGTTAATCTTATTGCCTGGATTTATTGAAATGTATTATTTAGAATTTATATATATATATAAAAAAAAAAAATCAAATAATATAGACATATTTTAAGGGGGTCATGGACTGAGAATTTGACTGTGAATGTTTTAGCAGTGCATTATTTGTTTGTGTTTGGTGCATTTCACTGTGGATTATTTGGTAGTGGAAATTTCTTTGCAGGCTTTGCAAACATACCTTTACGATATGGATCTGCCAGCAACGCCACAAACATGTAAGTAACCATGTTTATTCTAATGCCTGTGATCAGTGATTTCTGATGTGTAATTATTCAAGATTATCTTGCTCTCAAAATTGCTCAATACTGTTTATGCATCAGAAAATCAACCTTAGTGATCAACTTCACATCATTTCTCTTAGTAGGATGAAAATAATCGTATTTAAACTGATTAAAGTAGGCCATTACACTGAAGTCACACAGCAGACATGCCCCTTCAAATCATTTTGAACGATGATTTTGAACCATGTTCAAATCAGAGGCTAAAGTTCATGGCCCCTTTAAATGTAAGGCTTAAACGAATGTCAAATACATAATAATAATAATAAATAAATAAATGGTCTAATAGGTTGTCTGACATTTTATTAATATATATTTATTTGAAATATATTTATGAAGTGCAATCTTTGAAGTAGTTTTGTTATGTTGAGTTATGCACTCACACTGTGTGTGTGTGTGTGTGTGTGTGTGTGTGTAATATCCTTTTTTCTTTTTTTTTTAACTAAAGTTTTTTCTCATCATCTTAGTCATCTTTATTAACCCACAAAAGAATCTCATTTGAAAGAAAATGTAATTTCTAGAAAGATAATTTCCCTTTCCAGACTAAGTCAGAAGCCTACATCAAACAGCTGATCTTTGATCAGATTATACATTCTTGTACATCTTTTTTGATGGGGGTTTGTGTATCATTTCAAAGGTCATGCATATGTGAGATGTTTTATGAAATGAAAGTCATTTTAAGTTCAGCTTCTATAAAAGATAAGATCACTCACATCAAGCGGCTCCGATACATACAAACATTCAGTCGGCCCTCAGAAGCGCTTACTGTCTGCATGCAGCTATATGGACCCCTCTCTCAAACACATTTAAGACATTCACTGATATCATTCCATAGGCATCCGCTTCTCTTTATGGTATTTGATCTGGTAATTGAGGATCAGGTCTCCTAGTTGCTGGCCACTGAGGCCTGCAGATAACTGTGTCTCCAAGGACGGTCACATCACTAATGATGCACAAAACCAGGAGATGTGAGCACACCTCAGAAATGTTTTAGAATGCTGTAGGTATGATGTTTGGGTCAATCATTTGAAAAAAAAAATAGGCTATATATTTATATATATATTGCATTTGATAATGCAGATGTATAAAAGATAAAATATCAGTACATTTGCAGGTGGAATAATTGAAAACATGCAGACTTTATTCATAAACAAAACATACATCATTCGGAACCCTCTCATGACACCTTTTGTCTAAGAGTAGAGTTTGCATGAATGAGGAACTATAATAGTTCGGCATTTCGCCATGCACAACCACCATTTTTTCCAAGTAGTTTCTGTCAATGACGCCAGTATAGCCTATTGCTTGACGGCATTTCTGAAGAAATAATCCTGTGTTGTAATTAAAATATATTTTTGTAATTTGTGTGCGTTAAAGGATGTGTTAATCGTGCTGAGTGTGTCCCTTCATGACCTCATATTGTCTGTTTGTAAACAAATGAAATAATGATAACTTGTTAAATTATTCTTTAAATGGCATTCCCTTAAATAATAAGAGATATTTGTATAAATATTTTATTAGTGGTAGTAGTAGTATTTATAATAATATAACAATCACAATAAAAAAAAGCAATGATCACAATTATTATTCTTGTTGTTATTTATATTTTCTATTATTTTTAAAACTGAACCGCTCTAGACCTTCATTTGAGTGGCACTTAAAATTTAAAATTTGACCACTAACTTATTTTTATATATTTACATTTTATATTTATAATTATATATGCAGTGGTAAAATTACCCAGTTTGTACAAAAATTGTTAAAATATTCAATTAATTAAATATATTTTTATACGTTGACTATAATATGCAATTCATATTATGCTGTTCAATAGGTCTATTTAAAAAATGAATTATAAAATAATTCATTTAGGCAACATCAATTAGTACAGCTGTCACCACCGTTATGACGTCACGTTGCCGTTTTGCGCCTAATGAAGTTTAAAAACGTGTAAGCTAATTGTTTACCAAGAAGGCATTCGTGTCAATGAAGAGTGAGATAAAATGTGAAATATGTGACGTGTAAAGAGAACCAAGGTAGGCCTATATGTGAATATTTTAGGCTACAGAATATTTTCATGGTGCGTAATTTTTTAATTACGAAAATAATTCTGTGTAGGCTATTTATGAGTCATAAAATGCTATAAAACACCGAAGCAAAAGCAGTCGGTCGCTTTATTAGCCTACCAAAATGTGTAAAATGCAATTTCCACCGCTTCATTGTACACTTCAAACGTGATGGATTGGAAATGACAGAACTTCAGAGGAAAAATTACAAAAAAAATTACTGTTAGTGAGCGTGCCAGCGTGGGAAAATGAAGCCTTGCAGTGTATTGGAATTGGTTACTTCCAGTTTCTCAATTCTGAAATGAAATGAAAACAACAGAGTAAACCAGTTTGGCGAACTTGAGCCCTGGGCTATGTGGACCTGGTGGTGGGGGTCTGTTTGCCATGCGCGTATCGAGTTTTATATTTAGACATCTGCTCCAGATGATTTAATAGAGACTGTAGCTACATGCAGCAACAACCGCGAGACGTTCCTCGCGCAAGAAACTCTTTTGAAATACGCCTGATCGGAAGGACAGGCGTTTGAGGAAATGATCGGATCAGTTTGCAAAGAGGGCAGGAGAGATGACTTCCTCAAATAGGATGGTAATGCCCGTCTTCGGAGACATTGAGTGCGCGGTGCGGCTTAAGTTTGTCTGACTTTCCGCGTTAATTCACAAGAGCTGCATTTTGTATAATTGCACAACCGCTGGCACAAACGAGATAAAACTGGACCGGATTGTAATATGTAGTGATGCGCGCTGCTTTAATGCATCGCAAGACGCTGGACGTCACAGCCACGCGCCTTTCCGTGCCACAGGTGCGCACTAAACTCTGGTTATTCATTATTGATTAACGGCGCAAAGAAAAGGAGGAACGCGCAGAGGGACAAAACAATTACTCGCAGTATGGAGATCATGTCCAATCAACCCACATCAGAGACTGGTGGCGACCACACCGCAGCGGTTTCCATGTCTGCAGGCGTGGAGAGGACTGATGTGACCAGCCCGAGTCCGGTGACCAAACAGAGGTCCCTGCGAGCGGTTTATGTGCTGAATGATGGACTGAAGGCAGTGGCCGCGAACAGCCCGGAATCCGGGGCGCTCCAGTGTCTCCAGCGCGCCTGCGACGCGGAGAGTGCCATATTAACTACAGTGACTTTTGGACGATTAGACTTTGGGGAGACAACTGTGCTTGATACCTTTTATGACGCAGGTGAGGCACTTCAAGGCAGGTTTAAGAATGCTCGAGGCTATAGTTCTAGAGCCCCCCAACACTTTACCCTTTGGGTGTCTCTCTTATCTGGCACACCCAGTTCAGTTCTTGGAGCCTCGAACAACGATGTGCTGGATTGTCGAAACATCCAAAAATGTGAAATTTTGGAGAGCTTCTTGGACCAGGACTTCCATAGATAACATGCAGCTCTGCAGGATGGTGCATCTCTATAAGAATTCAAACTCATTGCCAGTGGTCGTAAGATTTAGAGCATGGGTGTGCAATTGAATGAAATTCAATTGAAACTTTGTAAGAATAGTAATACTAATGACACTACTACTATAGTAATATCATGCAAATACAATAATATTAAAAAGTTATAAACAAAACTTTATAAAACATTAATATATATAAATATGTAAAATTATAAATGATAAATAAATGGTGGTCCTGTTATATGCAAATCTAGTTGCTCTCTTATAATTAGTATAAAAAGGTGAATATTAGTAATACTGCACCATCCAAAAAAAAAAAAACATGAAATAATCATAAGTAAAACAATATAACACAAGAAAAAGCAACCATTATAATTATTATATAAATATTTTTTTTACACACACACACACACACATATATAATAAAACACACTATATTATATAGATAACAGACAGAAGGAAAAAAGTTTCTCAAAAAGTAATTATGCTAAATTGTTAACGGTAATGTAATGTAAGGGATCAATGGGCTTTCCTATGGGAAGACTACTAAAAGTTCAAGGCGAACTCTTTCAAGGGATATTAGGTGTGCTTTTGGGATCTTCTGCCTACAGCACATTCCTTTCCTGGAATTTACTCGCCAGGTCTAGTATGATGTCTCTCTCTCACACACACTTTCTGTCTCTCGTAGGCGTGGCTGCACGCATTACTCTGAGTGATCAAAATATGTTTACATATGAGCTTTAGGAGGGTGAGAAAATGGGAATGTTTTTAAGTTTGATGCTGTGCCCTTTTGTGAATCCAGAATTCGCTACAGCATGGCTCATTTACAGCACTTTTCACTGAAGAAAAGTGCATTTCAAAGCTAAAACTTTGAATTCTAGTTCTGTAAAAAGTGAACAAAACTCTATCTCCAGTACTATAGACTAGTCTTCTTGTTATTGTATTTCCCTCTTCTCCTCTTTATTAAGAATGTGACGTGAGTCATGCATCTCACAGTAATACATCAAGTCTGGTCTTGTATTTTTGAGCGTTTGGTGCATGGCTTTTAAACATGATTTCAGATGTTTGCATAGTTACTTTCAGCAGAGTAAGCACAGACTGTGTTTGACTGGAAACGAACAAATAT